CTCCGAGGCTGCTCAGCTCGGGCTGACTCGAACCACTGTTGCTCAGAGCTCAAACTCTTGAGCGAGCTCTTAACCAACTGAGCCACTCAGCCGGCCCTGATTACACTATTTAGAAAGCTCTACCCAATCCTAGGTCATGCGAGGATAACTTCATGGCCTCCAAACTCAAATGAACCCTCAAACTGTATCATGCTTTCTAGGTGCGTTTTCCACTATTATCGATCTTGCCACATTGTTTAAACCTTAGCTTTCTCATCTCCCTTCCCATTTTCAGTAGGTCTTTTCCTTACAGTGAAAATAGAGCCATCAGAGAATTGTTTCACTTTCATTCCAATAAACACATGAAATTACCTGCAACTACAGCCCATCTTCCTTCCCTCCTTTCACAGGGAAAAGTGCTTTCCTACGTAACAAGTGAAGGATGCCTCCCCTGGGCTCTGGAGGTCATTTCCTCCTGTCTTCGAGGGACCTCACTCCATTACTCCCCCCTCTCCTATATCAGCAAACCTTCTCTCTCTACTCTCTCCCTTCCATCAACTTTATGTTTCTCAAGACTATCCCATCTGAAAACGTCTGGACACCGTGTCACCAGTCTAGCTCCCACGCTTCCTTCTCCACAGCTGAGCTTCCTCTGTGAACGCCACCTCTTCGTTTCTTTGGGCCTCCCTCTGCCTATGGTGGCATATGGCTCCCACAGCACCACTGCAATGAAACTCTTCTTGGCAAGGTCACCAACAATCTCGTTGTCGCTACATCCAAGGCTCATCTTTTATTCCTTTTTTGGGGGGAGGGGGGGAATTGGGGAAAGGGAACAGCCACGTTGTTGTCTTTCAATCTTAGTTGTGGAGGGCACAGCTAGCTCAGCTCCAAGTCCAGCCACCATCCAGCTGCCCAGCAGCAGGTGCTGTGTTCGATCTTAGTTGCGGGTGGGCGTAGCCACCATCCCATGCGGGAGTCAAACCGGCAACCTTGTTGTTAGGAGCACGTGCTCTCACCAGCTGAGCCATCCTGCCACCTGTTGGCAGCTTAGCAGCAGCTCAGCTCAGGCGCAGCTCACTGGCCCATGTGGGAATCGAACCAGCGACCTGTGACTCAGAGCTTGCTCTCTTAACCAACTGAGCCACCTGGCTGGCCCCCTTTATTTCTTTTTGTACCTGACTGTTGAGTAGCATTTCACACGTTGCCTGTGTGTCCCTGGAAGCAACCTCTTTCCTTGGCCCAGGACACAGTGCTCCCTCGGTTTCCTCCCTGCTCCTTCTCCACATGCTGGTCTGCTGTCCGAAGGCTCTAGGCCTTTTCTCTAGGCACGCTGTCCTCATTGCTACTCTTCGGCTGTTAGAGTCAAGCGCCATCTACACGCTGAGGACATCGATACCTGTCTCTAGCCTGTGCTCCGTCCTGAGCTCCCCATCCTTGTACTCCATTTACCAAATGCACTAGCTGGAAAAGCCATGTGACTTGTGTGGCATTCTAGGCCTATAACGAGTTGACCTTGGCCAAGCAACAACATTGTTGTTTTCTCATCAAAAAAAGGGGGGACGGGCGATTATTCAGACTGTGCCTTCTTCTCCAAGATACTCTAGGGTCATTACAATGAACCACTACGTAGAAGGATATCATAAACAATAAAGTACTGTATAAACTAAGCTCCTGTTTTTATACAGATTGGTGACACATGTCAGCTGTCTGTCTGGAAAGGGGTTTTTAGTAGCTTGGAATTTGGGAAGGACTAAGATGTCGATGGAGGCTTTCGGATCCATTTCTCGGTTTGAGAATCAATAGGCTACGGAAGGGGTTCCAGCCGCAAACGCGCACATGAACCAGCGAGGTAACAAGAATGAGCCGAGCGGGTCGGGTGACTCCCCGCCTTACTTGAGGGGGCAACTCCGGGTGATTGGTGGTGACACACGGGATTCTGGATCCAATTTTTCTACAGAAGCTGAAAAACTGTTTGTTTTTAATTTGAGCTTTTCGGCCTTTTAGTAACAGCCGATTCTTTAAAAACAACACCTATGTGGAGCCCTCCACCAAACCAACAAGCCAGGCCCGTTCACGGTGCTACCCATCTTAACTAAATGTCGCTGGGAATTTGGGTCGCTATGAGGCAAAACGAAACCTTTCTCGAGGGCTGTTTCACCGCCCGCTCCTCGCGCCCCAGCGGGCCCGCCACACGCCGCGCACAGGGCCGGCTCCGCCCGGACAACCGCGGCGCGTATTTACACGGGGCACCCTGACAACCAGTCTCCGCAGACACGACCACCCAAGGGACGGTAGGGGCTGGGCCAGGAGCCGCACTACCTGGGCGGAAGTCGCCGCGGCCACTCTTCGGCGCGTCGGTGCTCTGGTCAGCTGCGGGCCGGGAGCCGGGAGCCGGGAGCTCGGAGCTCGACGGCCGGATAGTCTCCGCGAAACCAGCCGCGCGGCGCACGCGCGGCCGCGACCAGGGTTCTGCGCACGCGCAGCCGCCCGGCGCGGCGGAAGTGAGGCGCCGGCGTCCTTCCGGGCTTGCGTCACCGCGTCGGGGCGGAAGCTAGTGCGGTTTGGGGCCGGCGGTTGCTGAGCGGACCCGGCCGTCTCAGGACCCGAGTCCCCGCTCGGCGCCCGCTGCGGGCCGCCGCCATGTCGCTGCTGCAGTCGGCGCTCGACTTCCTGGCCGGCCCAGGGTCCCTGGGCGGCGCCGCCGGCCGCGACCACACCGACTTCGTGGGGCAGACGGTGGAGCTGGGCGAGCTGCGGCTGCGGGTGCGGCGGGTCCTGGCTGAAGGTGAGGCCCGGGCTGGTCGCCGAGGGTCAGCGCGGGGCGGACGGGCGCGGGGCCGAGCCGGGCGGGGCAGGGAAAGGTCAGGGGCGGGGGCGCGGGCCAGGCGGGAGCGACGTAGCGGTAGCAGCCGGCGTGGGGCCGGCGCAGAGGCTGTGGCCGTGGGCAGGAGACGGCGGGCAGGTGGGGAGCTCGGGGGGAGACGGAGAGCCACAATGGAGGCAGAAGGTGCGGGACCCGGAAGGCTGGAGCGTGGAGGGGAGCAGTGCGACACGGCCCTTCCCTTCACGTCGGGGCCGGTGTGGGGGCGGCGCGCCTCGTTTCGGGCGGTCGCGGTCCTGTTCTCCTTGGGTGTCGGGGCAGACAGGCAGCGTGTCCCCGAGCCTGCTTCCTCCTCTTGCCGCTGAGCGTTGTCTTGCCTCGGTCTGACTGGCCAGTAATGGAGGAGTTTCCGGGTCGGTTTGTCGTCGGTCGGCTTTCTTCCCGCACGGGGTTTCTAGCTTCCTGAACGCCCTCTCCCTTACTCACAGAGAACTTGTCGCCAGTGTTGGTGACAGCCCCCTCTCCCCCGGACTCGCGCTGCGTTTTGTTGGTCGGCGTCCACAGGGGCGTCGGGTTGCTCCAGTCGCGGTGCTCACCGGCCCCGCGAAACAGAGCTGTTTCCCCCGCGTGAACACGGGGCGAGGGAGCGGCTCAGCGTGAAAGACCGAGCCTGTCTGCGGAAGCTCCCGGGGCTGTAGCCTCAGCCGGTCGCCGTGCCACCCCTGCTGCCATCTGTACTCGGTTTGAAGCGGGAAACGGGCTGACTGCTCTGCTGTCCTTGGTCCTCAAGGCCTGAGGGGGTTGTCTGTCCACAGCGTGGGCACACACTTTTTCTCCACTGTGGTCAGAAACAAACATTTTGGGTGTGTCGTGGTGAGAAAAACCCCAGGCTCTTCTTTCAGAGGCGGGACCGGTACCAGTACCTCTCCTAACACGCACAAGTGTGGTGTTCTCTCACACCTGTGGGAACGACCAGCGTTTCCCCAGACCAGCTCATTTATTCTGAAAATACCGGGCAATGATCTTGGTTCTTTAAGAAATTCGCAGTGGACAGTAGGTGGCTTCTGCCTTATAGAACGTAAAATAAGATACACGCTCCAATGACAGAGGACAGCACAATGCAGGGGGACCCTTGGGGTGGGACAGAGAGTGGGGAGGGTCCCCGAGGGCTAAGCTGAGGAGGGAGGGGCGAGAATGCACCCCTGCCAGGGCCAGGAGTAGGGCCAGGGGCTAGGAGGGGCAGTTGCAGGTGGGAGGTGGGTCATGTAAAGAAGGAAGCCCGTGCCCATCGCTAGGCGCTCAGGATGAAGAACAAGCCTCCGGTTGTACAAAAGAACCCATTCCCTTTGCAAACTGGGCGAGTCAGGAGGTAAAAATACAGTTACGAGCTGTAAATGGCCTCTTTTTAAACTTAGTGGGTAGGTGGCTTGAAGCCTCGAAAGCTTGTCTTTCTTAACTGAAATAGTAAGAAACCTGTATGAAGTCTTTCACGTAAAACAGCAACATCGGCACGTAGGCTGTGTAATTCAAGCTGTCGTGTATAAATAGGAAGGTCCCAAGCCTAAACCTTGGGTAGCGATCTTGAGCATTTCTGAATCCTTCAGGTTTTTAGAAAGGTAATGTGTGTCCTTTATGTGCCGGGGTACTCCCACCGGGTTGGGAAGTGTTCTGTAATCAAATACGTGAATGTATCTGTAATTAAATGACTAAGTATCCTCACTGTGGGCTGCTTATGTCTTTAAGTGGCCCCACATCAGTTCATGTCAGGTCTTGCCCCGATTAATTTACAATAGATCATGTTTTGCTGTCAAACGATTTAGAAAAAAGAATATGGGTTTTCATAGCTTTTTGGAATTTGCATCTGTAGCATGAAATGGGTTGTGGGGGGAAAAAAGTTGTGGGCAGTGATCTATGTGGAGTCAGATAGCTTTCTAATCTTTTCAGGATTTGTTCTAAATTTTCATTTAAAAAAAGAGAAAGAAAGAAAGACTACTGGGTGGACCCCGGGTCCTCCTGCTGTGGAAGTGCTCACTCCCACTTCCTACTGCCAGAGTGGGTGCCTGAGGCGGCCACTGCTGCCAAATCGAGTGCTCGTCACACACAGCAAGGCTCGCTTGGGCTGCTTCCTCCGACTCACTGGTAGCAAGGTGGACAAAGTGGTGTGTGGGCAGCTCCTCACGAAACAAAAACAAGGCCACGTGCCTGTCATGGAATCCGAGTGTAACTAGTCACGTGTGTTTGCTTAGATGTTGCGTGCCCTGTCAGTCAGTCAGTACCTGTTTGCTAGGACACTTGTGTGCCATGCATGGTATCAGTGGCCTTTGGTGAACATAAGTGGTGCCTGCTCAAGGATGTGTGTTCTCTCTGGGGTCAGTGCTGGCCTGAGAAGCGGTGAGGGTATACCGCACACTAACCCCGGGCCACCTGTTTGCAGCCCTAGCCACCACTCCCCTTCCACTGCTTTTGGGGGGCTCCTCCCCTCACAGCATAGAACATTGTGATGGGGAGAGAGTGCAGGACTGTGATAGGACTCCTGGCTGCACGTTTTGGAAACCCCTGAAGCTGGCCTGATGGAAGGTGAGGACCTTTGTTGGACCAGGACGCCCTGCACAGGCATGCACAGTGCGGTGTGTTGTAGGTGGGCTTTAGAAGATGGTTTGGTGGTCACGGCATGCTGACATTACAGCATGTCCCCTTTCCATGGAGGAAGCGGGCTTGTGCAGTGTCTTCCCCTCTCATCATGGTTTATCGGCCTTGGTTCTTTGCACCTGTTCCCGGACCCAGAGGCCTGAGTTCAGGGGTTGCTCTCCCCTCTGTCTGCCCCACCCCAAAGGTCCCCTAGCACTGCGTGGTCCTTCTGTCATCAGAATGTGTGTCTTAAGTTCTACAAAACAGAAGCCACTCAAGGGTGCTGAGCGGCTGTCGTCATTCTCCAGTCCCCCAGAGCAGGTGACCAGGGTCTTCACAGCAGGGCTCCGTCCGGCGTGTGGCCCACCGTGAGCACGCCCACACGAAGCAGTAACCATGGCCACCACCCCCGCCTTTATGGTGCTCTGACTGTCTGGCAGTCACAGCCTGGTGCTTCATGCGGACTGGGATCCCGATGGTGGCTGAGGTCCAAACTTGCCAGAGCCACTGGCCAGTGGGTGTGGAGTGCAGGCTGGGGGCCGACGGAAGGCCACCTCGCCCAGGCTCCTCGGCACTTGGCAGAGTGCGAATTCTGAGTCTGTGTGATGGCCAGGCTGTCTGTCGAGTGTGTCCTGGGGGGAGCAACATCTCCAGCACATCCAGGTGGCAGTGGACTCTGGGAGCAGCTTGCAGTGGGCGTCGCCGGGGCAGGTCGGAGCTGAGCGCAGCCAGCACTCTGCTCTCCTCATCGGCATTGTGTAGTAACCAGCATGGGATGCCCTCCAGGCTCTGCCTGCGATGTGCAGGTGCCTGGAGTGGGATGCCATGGGGGGATGTCCCCCGGGAGAGGTCGCTGGGGGGGGGGGCTTGGCTTGCTCCTGTCTGTGGGCTCCCGCTCCATGGGGGCCTGTCCCTGTAAGACAGGTAGTGACCACGTGTGTGTAGAATGTGGACTCTGCTGACTGACCGTCATTGAGGTCACTGAGTGACGTGTGTGCTCCCGGTGCTCACTGTCCTGGCACTTGGTGCCCTGTGCCACCCTGTGTCTGGGCCCTCTGTGGAGGCCCTGCCCGACCCCCGTCCCCACACACGTCCCTTCAAGAGTGGTGTCTGGTTGTTGACCAGCGTGTCTCTGACTCGTGCGTTGGAGCATCTGTCAGTGCTTGTTGGCCTTCTGCCCTCCCTCCTGGAATTATGCACGTAGGTCCTGTGCCTAGTTTTTTTTAACTTAAAAATAGTTTAAATTGAGTTATATGTAGTAAAACGTGCAGAATTTAAGCGCTTTCACAGGTATGTGCACCTGTGTAGCCAAACACCTATTGAGCGAGAGAACCATGGGTCACCCCAGAAAGCCACTCATGCTCCCCCACCCCACCTTGTGGGACATTGCCTGGCGTGCCGTGCTCGCAGGGCCGGCACCGTGGTTCTCACAGTCACTCCCCTCCTTTGCTGCAGTTTGTCCATCCACTTGGCTGCTGATGGACATTCGGTATTTGCATGCAGCTGTTATGAATAAGGCTCGAGAACGCTTTCTTACAAGGTTCTGAGGACCTTACGCTTGCCTTTCTCTCGGGTAAAACACCTCGGTTGCCAAGCCTAGCTTGCGCCTCCAGCAGCACACAGCCCCTTCCCCCCACCCTCGCCAGCACGTGCTGCCGTCTGTCATTTTCGTTGTGTCTCTTCGTGTGCACATGCAGTCGTGTCTACTTGTGGTTGGAATTTCATTTTCCTGATGAAACCATGTTGAACATTTTTCACCTGCTTATTAGCCATTCGTATGTCTTTTGTGTGTGAAATGTCCATTCTAGTCTTTTTCCCATTTCTTACTGGCAGGAGTTGGGGGGGGTGTTTCTTCTTCTTCTGAACACAAGTCCTGTTTTTATATGACACACATGTACTTGAGGAAGAGAGGTGGGCGCAGGTGGGTCACTGCTGCCCCCGCTGGGCTGTCCTGGAGCCCACGCTCAGCCTAGGCAGGCAGACATCTGTGTCTGGTTTCTGGTTCAAGAACAGTCTCAGGGAAGCGACTGCACGCGTTGGTGTCTTAGTGTGCATGGCCTGTCCATCCCTGATTTGTTTTACCCGTTAGTGTTATTATTTTTACTTAAATTTTTTATAAAGATTTTATTGGGGGGATTGGGGGAGGGGAACACACAAGTTGTTGTTCTTCAGTCTTTGTTGTGGAGGGCGCCAGTCGCCACCTGGCTTCCCATCAGCAGCTCGTGGCCTCTAAGGTCAAGGTGCTGTGTTCAGTCTTAGTTGCAGGTGGGCGTAGCTACCATCCCATGCGGGAGTCGAACCAGCAGCCTTGTTGTTAAGAGCACATGCTGTATCCA